TTAATCAGTCTGGATTTTTTATAGTTTTATTATTTATTATAGCCTTTAAGTTTAATTTATATTATAATATTATAATTTTTTATTTGTTGCTACGGTGATAAGCAAAGCTTTAGAAATTAAAATTCCATTTTAGGTGATTTTTGTTATTTGTCGGTAGTATTATCCATAACTATTGAGAAAATCGAAAAATGACCTTTCTAAAGTACCACCTTGATCCAATTCGCTAAAAGATAAGGTATTGTATGTTGACATCAAAGCACTCCTTCTGCTGGAAATTTTGTATTCAGGATATAAAAATAAAAAAATAAACACCATTACACAGTATATTTTCTTGTAAATGCCCCCTTTTGTTACACATTCGATTCATTTTGTACTCTTAAAAATAATTATGAAAAATTCCAAGTGTAATCAGCTGTAGCTATAATTCTTAGGTTAGAAATTTAATCAAAACATTCTTAATAGTTTTTATTGCTAGTAAATTTTCAGCCCAGACCACACTGTGAATAATATTAGTGGTCTTAACATTCACAAAAAAAATATTCCAATAGAATATGTAGGTACATTTAATATTATTCTAATTTATTATACTAGTATTGGATCCATGTTGATAAAATGATAAAACCGTCTCTGTGTTTTTAAACAGCTTTTATAATTTAATTTGGTTTATCTCTTCTTTAAATGTTATTAGATACTAAATTTAGTATTTGACAAACCTGTCTTTCTTTTTTTCTATTATTCAAAAAACTTTTTTATTGAATTTTGTACATAGTTATTGAATGTGATAATCATATTATTTATTTTTTTAGTTGCCGACAAGAATAAAATAATGTGACCGATTCTTAAATTTAACAGTAAATTAACAATTGTAACAAATATTATATTAACAGCGTGAAGGATAGGAATAAATTAAATAACTAGTTTAAATATACATTTTACAATTTACCAATAGTTTTTGGATATTTCATATAATAACTGATTCATTCAATGCTTTAACTGTAAACATATATTTTTATTTATATTTATAAATCATACGCATATTTAAAACATAAGATCATACTATACCATGTACAATTGTATTGTGTTGTTAACAGGACTTTACCAATGCCCAGAAAAAATGTAGTACCAGCATCTTTGTATATGTCCTGGCTAGAGACGTTGACGCAAGGTATGCCTCCATTTCTTTTAGTGCGGGGCAACCAAAACTCTGTACTTACATTTTATTCCTAAGCATCTTTCGCTCAAGTACTGTTCCTCTATTAAATACCGGTAAAGTGATGTTAAGTAATAATATTTAAGTAAATTGAAAAACAACAATTTAACATGACTCGTTGGCACCAACCACGTTTTATTATATTTTATCACAAAATAAGTGTTTTTTTTTTTTAATAATAATAATAATAAGTTCTTTTTTGTATACAATTTAATAATTCATTAATTTGCAAAAGATGTTATGTGTAATACTGTAAAATTGTAATTAATTAATTAAATCAAAAACATGCTATTAATTAAACACATTTTGCACAATTAAATTTTTATTTTTTAAAGAATCTCATTTACATTTTATATACAATACGTGTATATATATATAAATAATAATATATGATGGCATAATGCTTTATATATTTGATATACTATATTCATTTTGAGTTATTGATGCATAGTTTTCAGTTTTCTGATGTATAATTTATAATTTACTTAACTTTAAATATTTCATTTATAACATAATACAACTTATTAAACCCTGTTTTTAGTCAACATATCAATCATTTAATTTTGATTTTAAATGGAACATCTGCCTACTGAAATTTATATTAATTATTGATTTTAATATTTTCTCTTAAAATTGCAATGTTTTTCAATAGAAATTTGTTCATACATTCTGTATACAATTAAAAAAATCATTAGAAATACAAATTAATCAATTTTCAACATAATCAGATCTGAATTTATAATTTTTGTATGTGAGAATCTTCTATTTTTATGATTGAATCAAATTAATTATAGTTAATATTCACTGGTATAAAAATCATTATTTAATTATTTAAATGTTTAGAATCAAGTATTGTTACTATGCATTTTAACTGGATAATTATTATTACTTTTTTATTTACTTTTTTTAATTAACTAAAACACAATTATACAAGATTACATAACGTGTTTAATGTTCATTTGTGTATGCATAATTTTTAAATATTTATAAAATTTGCTTACCATAAAATCTGATGAACTACTGTTAATAAAGTTTAATGTTAGAACTAAGCAACATCTAATATAAAGATTAATTGGTCGTAATTTTTTACTATTATTTATTTTTTAAATATTTTCCAAGGCCATAATATGTGTGGTTGTACATTTATTATTTAAATGAAAAAATATCGGTTGTTATTGTATTACGGAGCTTTGAAATTGTTTAGACATCAGATGTATTCTAGTCATACTATGGAAACAAAATTTTACCTACTTTGTCAACTTACTATCATTACACATTTAATGAACCTGTACAGAAATTTACAGTTTTGTTTAAAACATAATATAAGGTGTATAATATTACTAATTAATATTATTAGAATTGAGATATCTGTGATCAATCCACAAATTAATTCAGTTTATATAATTTTTTGGTTTTTTTCATTGTGGCCTTTAACAACAACGCTCAATTTGTGCTCAATGAAATAATTTATATATATTTTTGAGAACATAATTTATTGTGCTAATACAATTTATATATTTTAGTAGAAATATATTTTTTATAAATCTTAGTATAAGTAAATTATACGTAGCTATTATCTAAGTTTGACCCTCCAGCAATAAAAAAAAGACTTATTTTAGAAATGTATAGGAATATTGTTTTCATCAATATATAATATATGTTTATATATTGTGTATATGAATAAATATTTTAATTTATCTGACATATTTAATTTAATTATTCACCTTGGTATCTTTAATTATAGTAACTATGAATGATTATTACATTATTTCAATTGATGCTTTGTTGTTCATGGGAAACCTATAAAATCAAAATGATTGTATCACCCCAAAAAGAACTCAATTTTCAAGTATATTAAATTTTTTTTGTTCATTGGTTGTCTAAATATTATTTATTTTAATGCTTATTAATGCTTTATTTTATGCTTATTCCTTCTTACATTCAAACAAAGATTATCGTACAAATGCTGTCAAGATCTTATCACAAGATATTAATGATTCAATTTTCAATTTCTGACAGATTTTCCGTGTAGGTAGGTAATAAGTACGAGCTATACAACAATGGTATACCTGGTATACACTTCGTGTTACCTAGTGTCTAGTGGCCATTACAACATGATTTTTTAACGCAAGAATTCTTAATGGATGGCATGTTATGATATACGCACACATACACACAATGGTTTTGTAACGTAACGGTTTTGTTGCTGTAATACTTAATAATACAATTATTGGTAAAACATATTTTGCGCGTCCTACCTATATCATAATAACATCACGTCTCGGTGAATTAGTCTACTATTGTGATATTATCATAGAATATACTGGGCCCTACTACGATATTATTCGGCAATTTGACTAGTGGCAATTTTCTTTTCGTATAAATCCATAATATAACATGGCTATTGCCCATGCCCTATACTATTATTATTATATGTCTGCCATCCAGCTGTTATGGTATTGTCATAACTTCACTAGTTCACTGTATACTTAGTGCATAATATATTAATAATATACATTATTATCATATTACGTAGATTATATGACTATAGTTTCTCTCCGGAAAACTCCTGTTTAAAATCCTCTCGATACCTAAATAAATAAGTTAATAATACGATGTAGAGACTGTAAAAGAAGAGTCTCCACTCTCTAGACCGTGCGAAGTTATGATTTGCGTCAAATGCAATGGTATTTCTCGTTTGTCTGACACTATAGCTCCTTCTTTCTTGGTTAGGTCGTGTGATAGGAGATAGTGGAATATCAAGTTCATAAATAATTGTTATGCCTCGAAAATATGATAATATTCAACCTCGATTTTCACGAGTTCAACACTCCGCGCGTTGTAAACAACATTAGGCCCGTTTTCTTATTATAACTACGCCATTTAGGTAGGTATCATACTAACGTTTTTAAATTTACATCGGTTAAGATCGTATACACGTGTCCGAAGCGACTAAACTTTAGAGTTTAGTTCGAAGCCGGAATGCCTCCTTAGTCCTTACTCAGTTACTATTCTTACGTTCGAAGCTAATTCATTATTGCAACCGAAAATCTTATTTTATGTACCAGGTACCTCAATATAATAATATGACCTAGATAAGGCTATACATATAGCTTACGTAGCTGCAGCTATATATGCATATTATATACCTATAAGTATAGGTCCCTATACGGTTACGCGGTCTATCGTCTATAGTCCATACCGACCAATCGGCAGCTAAATATACCAGCCTTGGCTTATTATGACCGACGAGGTATTATAATATTGTTTTCTTCATACTTACATCGTTGCAGTTACGGTAAAAAATATATTAATGTATATATTTACTCAGACATAACTCGGCTAGGTGCCTAGGTGTTTGCTAATAAATGATAATGTTATCTTGTTATTTTGCACAATATTAAACTCCCGTCTCCCGAACAGGGTCGGACTGGGTACCAAGGGCCTCACTGGCAATTTACTTATAAAGGGCCTCAACAATAGTGATAAATAATAATTCGCTTAAAAAAGATGATTAATTTTTTTCACTAAAAATTATCATAAATTAATAAACTTTATAATTTACAAAATAGTTAAAAATGTTATTTATTAATTTTAGGCAAGGAGGAAAATGTAGAAGATTTTATAGAAGAGTATACCTATAGAATCAAACGCTTTGTGTTAATTGTTAAGACATAATATAAACAAATAATGAAATAATAATAATATTTTATTTCATTTTAAATACAACTTTTATAATATTATAAATCAAGGATAGTAATAATTATTAATTATTAAGAAAAATTTAATTCTAAAATAACAATCGCTTCATTTCATTAGATGTACTAGCAAGCTTATCAATAATGTCATCATAGTTCCATTCGGAAATAATATCTGCCTCAGAATTTATTAAAATTAAGGATTCCAACAAGTCTTGACCAATAAGTGATCTGAGACGAGTTTTGATAATTTTAAGCTTAGAGAAAGAACGTTCACATGAGACTTGGGTAAAAGAAATTGTTAATAAAGTTTCATATGCAATATATAAATCTGAGTATGCGCTACTATGTAAATTAAAATCTTTCAATAATTTAATAGCACATGGAATACACTTTTGACAGTTTTGATCAATAGAACATGTTAGAGTTTCTTCTTCATCATTTTCTGAATCAAAGACATTTGATTGATACTCTGTATTATTTGAAATATTATGATAAATGGATGCAAAAGATATTAATTGATCAACTAAACCATCTCGTTCAACACTACTCATTTTTGCTAAAGACTGTAAGGCTCCTTGTGGGATCACACTCGGATCTTCATTTATTCTTTTAAAATTTTTAGGATCCAAGTATGAAGCATCTTGCATAATTGTATTTGAATCACCAAACCTTACACTGATTTGTCTAGATGCAGTATCAATTACAACTTGATAAACCCTCACGCGAAACTTGTGTTTATCATTTTCAAAAGCACTTACTGACTCATCTGTTGCAGTTTCATCAAACATTCTTTTAACTTTCCGTGATCGTTTATGTGATAGTATTGTCTCAATTTCTAATTCAATTTCATTTTTAGTTAAAATATCATTAACAGAACTTGCAAATGATAATGCAGCTTTCAAAATATTATCAAATGTTGATATTGAATCTTTTGCCATATTAGATAATTGTTTTTCTAAACTCTTTAATAATTGATGTGCTGTTAGATAGTCCAATGACACAGTTTGAAGATATTTACTGACAGGTGTAGTGTACTTAAATAATGTTTTAAAAACAAAAGCTACAAGAATTGTGTCAAATTTTAAGAATATTTGCAAAATAGATTGAGCTTCAAAACTAACTTTGGATTCAAATTGATCACTGTACGCTATACTATAAAGTGTTTTTAAAAGCACAACATACCTGTTTACATCAAATATAGTTTCAAGCGCCTTGTCTTTGGCCCACCATCTAGTAATTCCAATTTTTTGTAATCTTCTCAGTTTTTGTTGACTTAGTGACAAACCACAAGCAATCAAATCATTTCTTCTTTTGGCTGAACGTTTCGAAGCCCCAGATTGAAATTTACGTTTCTCCATTTAATAATGTAAAAAACGAACAATAGAAACAACGTATAATAAGTAATAACTAATAAGGTAAACGAGAACACGTATTAACAAATCGGGTTTATGACGAATGAATAATGATATTTTCAGTGTATTTACCATAGAGTAATATAGTAATTACTCTATAGTCTATGGTATATACGTATAATTGTGTACTGATTGAAGTATTCCTCAAGCCAATGAGAACTCAGGTTTACAGTTCTAAAAATAAATACCTCCAAAATCCCAATTGATATAGATAATCATATAAGCACCGTTGCACCGATAAGACGATAACACGAACGTTGAGACGTCACGAACAATATGTTTTGTCCGTCTAAACTACTACACTGTATTTATGTTTGATTATTTTTATTTTATAAATTAACATTTGTAGATGTAATGTACATAAATGGCAGATGCACATTACAAATACAGTTCATATTAAATTTTATAATTATGATTTTTCTGTTAGGTAGGGCCCCATATAGTCATACAGATAAGGGGGCCTCACTGGCTAATGCCAGTCTGTTGCATAGGCCAGTCCGACCCTGCTCCCGAACAATGTCTCACGATTTATTGCACAAATGACACGAACTTTTTTCGGCCGCCGCCGGCTGTATAGTGATGACGTCGTGTATCTCATGTCTGTATGCATAATAAATATGCGTGTCACATAATAAGACATAGTTTAACATATCTTATGTGACACGTACATTGACTATGCATAATATACGGACATGATTTACAAAATATTATTCAGTGGTTAGTATATCATTACCTCATAAGTCATTTCAGCATCTCTCATTCTCACTTCCCCCGGCCTCGCCCAACCAAATTTGAAGTATATGTATTATGTATTTATATATTATGCTGACTAATGAAATCTGGAAAATTTTCGACTTTTATAGCTGTATAGTCAATAGCTTTATATTCGTGATAATAATACTGTAATCCGTGCCACACAGAAGTTTTGATAATTTATTTAACAATTAAGTAAGATGAAAATAACATATGTCTACGTCGTAGTATTAATTTAGGGTTAGCATTCAATTTTTTATAGAATTTATTATAAAACTAATGAACCAGAATTTTCGTTTTCTAAAGATATAATATAATATATAATCTATACCCTAAGCTACATTACTACATTGAGTATATAATATACAATATTAATACAAGTAAGACAGCGAATCCCTTGGTGAAAGAAGCCAGTGAGGCCATTATATACTATACTATATCATCATATAAGTACTCATGGTGGGAGGATGGATACCCCTCTCTTGATATTTTTTTTATATAGGTACCTATAATATAGTGTGTTTAACGATAAATTTAACACAAAATATTACTTACTTATATCTTATAATATTTACTTTGAACTAATTTTCCGTTTGGGTTTTTTTTAACTGCATAAAGGATTTAATATATTATTATATCTATTTTGGAAAATCGTTCTCCACGCATGCACAACAAAACAAATTTTGTTTGAATTTTAACCTCTCTTTCTGAGTTTGAATTTGAATTACTTTAATCTTTTTAAGCAACTCTGACTTACCTTCTTATAAAGTTAATATCGATTTTAAAAATTGACTTACTGAGGGTGAGCCAAAGTTTTGATTTATGCATGTTGTTTTATCGCATGTTTCAACAGTCTAATAATAATTTGGTTAAAATGATATTTAATATGCTTTATACTTACGACACTACACCTGACTTTTAAAAAAAAACATACAAAATTACACAGGACATTGTAGAATTGTTGATTGACTATGATAGACATTTGATTTTTTGGCATCACTCCAGAGATTGAAGCCATTTGTTCATTAGAGTTTCGTATTTAATTTGGAATTTGTTATTTTAAGTCTACGGATACGTGTGCTGAGGTAAGTATTTTGGTTTGAATATAACGGTCAATAATTATTCAGATATTGTCACCTCAGGATTAGGAATAAGGAGATGCGAAGTGAATGTGGTGTATAAAGATTTCGATTGATTTAGTTTTGATCGCTATTTTTTATGCGACAGCATGATCTCAAGATCGTTATGAAGATTTAAGAATGAAGTTTATGGATAATTATGAATTGATATAAGAATACCTTGTCATCCACAAACGTAGAGGTTATGAGGTACACTATATTTAACTGGAAAGAAGATTCCATGCCACCATGCGGGATTATTGCACTAATATTTACTATGCCCTAAAAATAAGAACCAAATCTGACTTCAAAGTGACGGTTGGAAAGATACGATTTGATTATCAAGAATTAAGAAACATGTGGGGAAGAAAAAATTGTAGTTCGTATAGCACCCTGCAAGTGCCATTGCCAGATACCCAAACGCCCCTCGTGGAATATCAAAGAACACGCAAGAACAGTATTTTTTCTATTCAAGAGAATAGGACATCGACTACCTATAATCAATGGAGTTGGCGTATTATGGAATGAGAGGTAAGACATTTAAAACGGGTATTTGGTGGAATGTTACTGGAAGTTCTTCATAGGAGCCGGGAGAATTATTTTTAGAATTAACTTCTTAAGAATTTCGGTCGAAAATTGCAAGAGTACCTAGTCTCTAGGTCGGTAAACTGAAGGAATATTAGGGGGCTCATTCAGTTTTGGAACTTAAAATGATTGATGAGAATATCGGAAGAAGTGGGAAGTACGCCTGCGGTCTTAGAGACTAAAGTAGCATTTTAATATCATTATAAGTAAAGCAATTGCTCTTTTCATCTACCCACTTCTGCATATGGGATAATTTTTCTTAATAAATACATATTACAGTTAACTACTTACCACCGTATTACAGTAAACAGACTAAATTATGGCTAAAGGTATATATCAATATTAAACTACCAGTGATTTGGTAATTGGGTACATGAACCACAGGATTCCACTCAGGGCCGGATTGGTATGTATCGGCCCATCGAGATTTTCACTTCTATAAGCAGCCTCTTTACATATTCAGTGGCCCAAAAACTTATTATTACACATATCATTCTTTCCATGATATCGCAATGTTTTTGGTTTTTTTTCAATGAACTTTGCTGGTTGTTGATAATATTATTATGTTTTTTTGGTCAAAAATCTTGAAAATTCAATACAAGTTTTCTCGTGAGGTTTATACACTAGTAGGTAAAGAACAACTGAAAGTAACCTGTACCTATACAATTTAGACAACATATTATTATTCACAAGTCGCATAAGTTAATTTTACCCCAACGTGTTGACGCGTTTATTAAATAATAATATCAAATAAATAACAAAACAAAAACATTTATTTGTGTAAACTTACATAATATAGGTTATGGTTTTTCGATTATACATAATATACGGCAGTATTAATACCCATAGTTTATAATAATTTATTTAAACATAGAAGCGGAGGGCAGCAGTATTTACCGACCATTTCTTCCACAGCAGATCTATATGATACAAGCGGCGCATTTGGCGGTAACTAAAGTCAGTACAGCGCGTATGACTTGGGGAAACGTTCAAACGTCGGAGCGAACTCAGAATGAATGCGTACAATGATGGAAGTAAACAGATTTTGACGGATTTTCCGGCAAACACGACGGTCGGACACGAAAGTGCCGATCAAGCTTGGGATGTACCTACATGCGCAAAACACACAACACTATACATTGCGGTCTAAAGCTCCGCAACAAACCATTCGACGGACGAATCTCTTCGTCCGGCTCCACAGAGAACGGCATCTGGGAACAGTGGGAACTACCGCGGTTACCGCCTGGTTCGTCACTGCGTCACTGCGGTCGCCGTGGGTTAGCGCCATATCCTGGACACTATTTGCCCGGTGCACTGATGGTTTCGTCGTACAGTTTTTACACTCAGTGCCGTCATACTGCAGAGCTGCCATGTTGCACGTCGGAGTTGACTGCAGCACGTCGCGGTCGTCGGCTTCGACCGGTCCAACACATGGCAAAGATGACGAGATGGTTGACGACGACTCGATCTCGCCAACTTCTGCAGTGGCTGCAGGTGTCGTACCTGACAACTCAGTGGACGGTGAATCAGTCGTAACTTGCATATTCTCCACCATGGGTGCGACCGGAGGCAAATCGATACCGGGCACATCGCTTGCGGAGTTTGATCTCACAGGTATATTTGGCATGGATTTATATCGTCGCATAACTTGGGTCTTAGACTGCAACCAGATCTCGGGTGCATCTGCACCCGCGGACTTATTCTGCACGGTCAAATCCGGTGCCGATTTATGTAGCTTGTGCGCCTGTGAACAATTGATAACTCGAGATTCCAAAGTCTTCGTTTTATTTGCCCGTAGCTCGTCGAAAACCTCGAGCATTATTTCGGTGACGGACTGGATATTGGGTTTGGGCGAAGTCTCAAGTGCAGCAATATTCGACATATTGATCTGATACGGTTAAGTTAATATTATACTAAACGAAAAGTACGTTGAGATTTTTATATTGTATTATAAATTATCCGTAAAGTTCGTTGTAACAAATAGGTAGATACTGATAACTGATTTGGTAATGAATACGCACAGAAACGAATTATAATGTTTTAAACACTTACAAACACCCGTGGCAACCATATTTTTATAGATTTTGTAAATCGGGAATGTATCTATATTATTTTTATTTATATTCGATACTATTATTATTTATTAAAATCTTATTCCTATGTTTTAGTTATACTGTTCAAGTATTAAATTGGTAGGCATAGGACTATAGGAGTATTGGATATAGGCGCATATTGGAAGTTTAATAATATTAATAGTTAGCTGTCCCGCCCCACGTTGTCCAGACCAAAGATTTGTATTTTTAATAAATATATTTGTACAAAATGTATATACCATATTTCTTCTAACTATAATATTAATACAATATGTACCTACCATTTAGATTGACAAAAAAAAAATTACATGATACACACAATACATTATGTAACATCATCACCTTATCGTGTCTAGCTGTGAGTATTAATATAAAACCGTGTAATCATTCACGTTTT